GTGTGTGTGTGTGTGTGTGTGTGTGTGTGTGTGTGTGTGTTCCAGCTCTTTAACCATCGTGGCCTCGGCTCTGCAGATTCATATTTTGTTTCCGTCTGCATGAGGCTGCTTGGAGCTGCCTCTCTGTTTGTTTGGGTTTCTGGAGCGCTGCAGTGACATGTGAGGAGGCGGGGGGAGGGATGGGTGGGGGGGTCTGTGCTCCGACACTATTCTCCGTTAGATTTCCAGGTGATTATGATGCTGTTGAAAGATGTTGAAAGATTTTATATATATAGGAGAATGATATAGTATTATATATTGGTGCTTTACTCCTGGGAGGAGTTTACATCCTACAATTTAAAGAATCAACACATGGTGGACATGTTCTAGGTTGATTTTATTATTTTTGGATTTAATGTTTCAATTTGGCAAACAAAAATAAAGGATCCAGTTATTTCCCAACCTGAAGTGTGGAGAAACAGCGTTTAGATTCCCTTCACGTTGGGAAATACAACATTTCAATGAAAATAGAATTCAGCAGTTAACTGAATACACGTAATATAAATAAAAACAAATGATAAAGAACAATGTGATTTGGAATTATGGGGGAAAGAGGATACACTTTGTCAACTGCTACGCACGCAATAGACCATTTCACAGTTGTAAACAATGCAAACGTGTCCCAGTTTACTTCCTGTTGCAGAGTTAGTGAATGAAGCTGTCAAGAAGTAAACATGGACCCAAGCTGTCGCCTAGCAATGCATCTCCGTTGAAACGACCCATAAATTGTAATTAAAGCCGACAGTAGAGAGTCAAGCATACAATTCAACATGTATGAAGAAAAAACTGTCCACACATGAAGGAAGTGTCAATGCATGTAGTTCTACTATTCGTCAATATTATGCAGCGCGAGTGTTTATTTCACTGCATTCACTGATGTTTTCCTCTAAACAAGCACAAACTGTGCTTTCACACCAAAATACAGTGTTTGAAATACAGAAATGTGAATGCTATTAAAGCTCTCCACTGTACCTCATCCTTCGGTCCGGCGGCGGTCGGCCTTCCTCCCCACCACCACACCCAGTCAGCATCCTGTCCCTGCCGGCGTCTCGCACATTCCACCACACACCTCGGGGCCCCTGCTGGGCCTCAGCCACGAGCAGGAAGACACTTCTTACTCTCCTCTCTCCTCCTCCTCAGCAGGGGCCAGACATCTTCACCCCCTCCTCCTCCCTCGTCCGCCCATGCCTCGCTGCTTCAACCGGCCTCCAAGAACGTTTTTGGACTGGGCTTCTTGCAGCCGGCCACACTGACCCCTGCTGGACAAAGGCAGTATCAGAAATCCTCCTGTCAGAGCTTTGCAGGAAGTGGTTGACAGATTCCCACGAGCAGGCGGGGGAGTCGGGGGGCACCAGAGATCCCAGCCTCGGCTGACAGAAGGCACTTCTCTTTTGGTTTTGCGATGGCATCGTCCAGGAAGCAGCTCTCCGTCCCTGTGAGTGTGTGTTGTGAAGGACAGGAAACGTCGCTCTGATTGAACTGCAGGCCGTGAATAGACGACACTGTGGCCCCTTGCGACGCTGTACGACTCGTCTCAGTCGACGCGGCCCCTGCGTTTAATTATTCTATCAGCAGACAGGAGGGAGGCTCTTTGTTTACTCTGTCGTTGCTTTCTGTCCTGTTGGGTTTTTTGCGGGTTTAAAAGATTGTTTCTGGAGACAAAAAGAGTCAGCGGGACAGACTGGGGCCCCACCCCCCCATCTGTTTATGTCTCTCCCAGGCTCCATGAAAACACAGATGCCGACACAAAACACATCCTCTCGCTCCTGCATACTTTTCCCCGAAGAAGAAGAAGAAGGAGAAGGAGACGACTGATATTCGGGATTCCGTCTGTCCCTCCTCGTTCCCATCCCTCCATCCTCAGGGATCTTCCATGAACAAAGGGAAGCGGACCCGTTTCTGCCTGGGATGTCGTCCCCAGGCGAACACCCCCCCCCCCCCCCCCCATCATGGCTTTATTCAGCACAAATGAAGGCGCTCTCCTCTCCTTCCTCCACTCCCTCTCTCTTTCTCCGTCTTTAGCATCCCTCTCACATCCACTTTTTGGTGCGTAAGGGATGGGCTGAAAACGAGCACAGTGTGCCATGCCAGAGAAACATTGTCAAAGCACGGGGATTGGGGGAGTTATTGTGCAGTCGTGTGTAAGCATCTGTAATGACGGTGAACCACTACCGCTATCTGTCCCTTAAGACAGCCGTGTGTGTGTGTGTGTGTGTGTGTGTGTGTGTGTGTGTGTGTGTGTGTAGTGTGCAGTTTGTGTGTCACAAACAGCACCAGCAGCAGTTGAGGCTGAAGCAATATCAAGATGAGGAACTAGTAAAACGGTTCAGCTATATACATATTTTCAGGACGTGGTTAGCCTAGCTTAGCAGGGGGGAGAGCAGCTAGCCTCCAGCTAGCAAAAGTTACATTTTCATTAAAGTTCATTCAGTGTGTCCAATCATTTCATCCCTTTAACGTTTTTAATCAATTGACTAGTACAGAGGACAAAGTACAGAGCTGGAGTCTAGCCTAGCTTAGCATTAGAAGCAGGGGGAAACGGCTAGCTTGACTCTGCCCGAAATTAATAAATACGTCTTCCAACGCCTCTGATCAATTCTCAGGTTGTACCCTGTTTATTTCACCCATACATAAAAAGATGTAAAAATAAGAAGTTATTTTAGAGGGAGCTACATGTTGGAGCTAACATATCTCCGTCATTAGCTAAGAAACCCTAACGGCACGTCTCTCCTTCTAAAACCACAAACAATCACCTCCACATCACTGTATGAACATGTTTAAAGGTTTAAAGAGACACAACCGGCTGCCTCGTAATGTAGAGTGCAACCTCCACTGTGGACGGTCACACCACGTGTTCCCCATCTGCCTCCAGTCTTTACGCTAAGCTAGGCTAACCCCAGCCATTTCTGTGGGCATGGTTGTATGTATTGCTAGACCATTCATGTCCGTGCCATACTACCTGTCTTCTAACTTATATTCCTGTTGACTGGTCCTTCTTGATTCCTCTCATCTCGTACAGCGTTAACATGTGTTCATACATTTGTATTACGGGTGGCTGCAGGGCTTTTCTACCGCCACGTGTCGCCCTCTACTTTCCTCCCCACAGACTCACTTTAGCCGATGTGTTTTCCACATGGAGCAGCAGCAGGGAGCAGGTCCAACTTAAGCTGTGCTTTGATGTGTTCAATGGCACAGAGATCATGCCTGCTCATGCCTCAAGTGTATTACTGTGCTCATATTAATGTGCTTCCACTGTTTCTTCTCACTCTCTCTCTCTTTCAGCGAAGGGGACTGGTGGGATGCTCGCTCGCTCACCACCGGTGGCAGTGGCTACATTCCCAGTAATTACGTGGCTCCAGTGGACTCCATCCAGGCAGAGGAGTAAGTTTTTTGTGTGTGTGTGTGTGTGTGTGTGTGTGTGTGTGTGTGTGTGTGTGTGTGTGTGTGTGTGTGTGTGTGTGTGTGTGTGTGTGTGTGCTCCCCAGAGAGCCACAGTACACTGGTCCAGGACTAGTGACTTTCATCTAGAATGTACTCTGAAGTAGCTGCAGAGTGACTGCCGCACATGTGCAGACTTTACTCCAACATATGATGATGAGGACATAAAAGTATTCTTAATCTTCCTCATAGCTGTAAACTAGTGCTAAAGGCCTATTAGAATAACTGTTGTGCATGTGTTACGGAGAAGCAGGGAGCAGGAACAATGTTCCAACATCTGCACCGAGTTGAGCAGCTGTCTTTTGTATGTTTCTCTCTGGGCTTTCAGGTCACAACCATTAAGTCTCAATAATGTGTGTGTCCGATCAAAATACTCTCGACCTCATTGACTACGAGCCACTGGTACTGTGCAGGATTGAGTTAACATGTTCTCTCCTGCGCTTGCAGCTGGTACTTCGGTAAACTGGGCCGTAAGGACGCGGAGAGGCAGCTGCAGTCCACCGGCAACCCTCGAGGAACCTATCTCATCAGGGAGAGTGAAACCACAAAGGGTAAACCCACTCAGTCACACAACTCTGATGTTTGTTTATGCCGTGACAGATTCACTACCTCTGTGGAAGAAAACAACACACAGAGCCGTAATGGTTTTTGAGTGGCAGCCGCATTGTTTTAAGTCCTTTGAATAGATTTTTGCTGATTTACACCATCGACTAGTTTGTGATGTTTAGCGACTCCAACCCTGTACTGTGTGTCCCCCCTCAGGTGCCTTCTCCTTGTCCATACGGGACTGGGACGATGTGAAAGGTGACCACGTCAAGCATTATAAGATCCGCAAGCTGGACAGTGGCGGCTACTACATCACCACGAGGGCTCAGTTTGACACGCTGCAGCAGCTGGTCCAGCACTACTCAGGTATAAAACACTGCCCTTTAAATGACTTTTACACTGCTGTCATATCTAGATGGAAATTTAAGGAGGTGTTGATTTTAGGACTTCCAACTTAGCAGTGCTACATAATAAAATACTATGAATGTATTCGCATTCACTTTACAACGTATTTGTTATTTTTAGGATACATTCTGGTTACTTTAAGGACGTATTCCACTTTATTTATTCTCATTCACTTGAGGACTTATCCTTGTTATTTTCTAGGATGTGTTCTGGTTAGTTAGCATTTGGTTCATTTTTATTCTGGACAGAAGAAGACAAAAACTACAGCAACTACAGACATAAAGGACGAGTAAATATACAGCTGTAAAGATACAGACATGTCTGGAAGGTTGAATCTTTATTTGTGATTTAAATAAAGTTATTGCATCGTGCAGCTTACAACCTCCAGCACTGAAAGAATATGTTATGCACATTAGCCTGAAAACCACCGAGGCTGCCCCTCAGTGGTCAGGCTGCCATACGGCCCGTGAAGCATTGCGTCGCCCACTTTCCACTAACAAGGGAAACGGACAGATGTTGCCATGGAGAGGTGCGTTGCGATGGAGATGGAGCGCGAACACCGCGGCCCAAATAGCAACGTCAAAGTCTTCTCCTCTGCCCAGTGTCCATTTCCTTGAATTGATCCAGAATGCATTAAGCAGACACTGTTACACTGTAATTGCATCTGGTCTGCCAGCATATTTTTTAACATGGAGGAATCAAAGGTGGCACTTACCACGGGGTGCAAGTAGAAAGAAATGGAAACCTACTACACGTGAACATTTGTTTTCCATTCGCGTCTTTATTTATTTAGGTAGATTCGCGAAAAGCCACTTATTTAGCGCTCTGCTTGAGCAAAGGGAGACTCGGTTAGCATCACGTCATCCAGATGTGTGCGTTGAGCTTGTGCTGTCAGTAGATGACCTGCTGCATCTGTGCCGCAAACGCACATGTTAGATAATCTGATTTACAGGATGAGACGGTGATTATTGTACTTGTTGTCAGTTTTTCCTTCTTTATTCACTTTGTTCTCGTTTGCCTCTCTTACTCTACGTCTAGGGCGTAACGATGACGCGTTCATGTGTTCCGTTTCACCGCTCTCATCCTCTGCGTCCCTCTCACTGAGAAACGGTTATTTTTTGGTTGGCACATCGACGTATCGACGTTTAAGCCCTAAAATCAACACCATGTTTGTTTTTTTCTGTGTGTTTGTGTCATTGCGCAATAACTGCCCCGTCTACGTCACCATTTATTCATCACCATCCCAGATGACGTACGGAGCCGACGACGCGTCTTTCGCAAAGAACCTTGACTCTTTTCAGGACGTTTGCTTTAATTGCTTTCTGCTTTCCTCTGTTGTCATGTCTTCAAAGAGCTAAAGAGCATATCTGGCAGGATGTACTGTAGCTATTCGTCAGATGCGATTGAAGGGACGAGAAAGGCCTTGAGAATCGAGATTATGTAACATTGGAAAAGAACAAATAGCCCATTCATCCTGAATTCATGGGCAATAGAGCAGCCTTGCTTAAGTCAAATAGATGAAAAAGTAGACATGATAAAAAATACAAAATGCTCATGGTAAGTCAAATTTAAAGAAGTAACAATTGAGTCAAAAATGTTGACGTATTATCTTATAATAATGACTTACTAAGTCTAGTTTAGGAGATACTAAGTCAAATTTTTGAGATAGCAATTGCACGTCAAAATGTTTACGTTTCATCTTTGCCAATGTTGACTTAGTAAGTCTTGGTCCTGATGAGAACTGGTCCAGTCTATGTCCAGTAAGTCTTTGTCCCCAGGTTGGATCAGTGGCTGTTGGTAAACTACCTCTCGGCGACACCAAAGTTAGAACGGAAAGGAAACCAAAATGGACCGTCAGACCAAATCTGGTTTAGCAAGTTGAATAACCGCATCCTCGCTGACAGATTCTTTAAAATAAAAATAACATTTCGTCGGGGGGGTAATGAATGGAATGTATTGACTCGGATCATTTGAAGCTTCCATGTATTTCTAGGAAAGCCTGTTGTGATGCGTGGTGTGTGGCTGCACACGCTTTTATGGCAGCCAGCAGGGCGAACATCGAGCTGTATTGACGTCTTGAGTGGAGCCGCTGAGGCAGCAGGCGGGCGGCCCAGATGGGCTTTGATGGTCAAGTTGCAGGGGGGGAGACGCGGGCCTTTATCTCGTATTTACTGCCTCGTGCAAACAGCCTGGGGCCTTATCGCTGGCAGCGGGGGGAGGGTGGGGGGGTCTCACGAGATGGAGGTACCAACGGAAACTCTGCCTGTAATCCACTGTCCTAATCAATCACGGGCAAACAGAGTAAAAGTTGTTTGATTTCGTGACACAGAGAACACGGTGTCATCGGCTAAAGGGACAACCATCGCGGCCGCGGAGGGGTCGAAATGGGAGCAGCTGGAGCGCCACTCGGTTGCCTAAACAAGCGCGGTGCTTAATGCTTCTCGTGGAGCATGACGTCCCCGTATTTAACCACAACTGGGTGGCGTACATTTCCCAGATGGGTGACCGACGTGCCGGAGCTATCTCTCTGCGCAAAGTACGGTCATTATCGCAAAGTGTATGCGAGTCGTAGATGCGATTAGCCAAAGTGAGCCATATCACGGAGCCTTGCTTTTCCTATGACTTGCTGCTTTAGCAGTAGTATGAGTTACTGGTGAGGAAGCTTACACATCTGGCACTGAATTCCTCTTCTTTTTAAATTAAACAACTAAGTACTGGATCCTAAACTTCCCATAATGCAACTCAATAGTGCTTCCCTGTCTGATAAATACCCCCGTTTTTTAACGCAGGCTTTCCTTTGGAGATTTGTAGATTCCAAGCCAAAAAAACAAAACATGACATCATTGAAATAACCCAGATGACATCACTAATGATCATGGAGACCAGATTAGACTGATCTCTCCTGGATGGCCTGACCTGAAAGCAGCTTGGTCTCCAGTTGGCTCTTCATCCTCCTTGTGTCTAGTTTCTTGTGTTGCTTTGAGGATTTCCCCGCTCTCCTGATGGACGCTCTGCTAACGCTCTCCACGTCTCTGTCTATGCTTTTATTTGTGCATCGCCATGCGGGGCGCGTGCAGACCGAGCCGCCGGGCTCTGCTGTCGCTTGGTGGTTCCCTGCCACAAAGGGATGCCACGTCTCGCCGACCTGTCCGTTAAAACCAAAGACGTGTGGGAGATCCCGCGGGAGTCGCTGCAGCTCATCAAGCGTCTGGGGAACGGGCAGTTTGGGGAGGTCTGGATGGGTACGGATCCAGTCGCCTCCAGAAGAGGAGGGCCGCATGGAAGGGGCCGAGCCTGAGCCAGCAGAGACACCAGACTGACTCCAAAACATCAAGCGAATAATCTGGCCCCGGGAAGGGAGGGGATGAAATGAGAAAATAGGGCAGGAAATTACGCTAATTCTCAGTTTGGGGCTTTTGCCAGGGAAATGCTTTGGGGTTTTTTGACCCCTCCCTTCCAAAATCATCTGTAAGAAAGATCCAATGTGTCAGGAGACTCTGCTCTCACGGTCTGGAGATGGCTCCCTTCCATGTCCCTCAATGCATGTTCCTCTCCCCAGTAGTTAACCCTGTGTGCCTTGCCTTCCCTCCCCATGTAGAGAGTGCGGATGGTTTGTGCTTTAATTTAACGGCCGTGTGTGTGAACTACATCCCTGACACTGTGGGCTTGAATCATGATGCCTGGGAGATCAGCAGAGACACACTTGACTTGGAAGTAAAGCTGGGGACGGGATGTTTTGCTGATGTGTTTTACGGTAAGGAAACTCCCACCCCGCCCCCCCAAAAAGTACCCTTTTTTTAAATGTTCACCTTGGGCCACCCTGGAAATACATGTAAAGATTTGTATTTATCCTTTTACATGCATTCTAAGATGCGCCAAGAAATAATTAGAAAATTCGTTAGCTAATTGTAGATGAAAGCAACTGCTATCTTATCCCTTTCCAGCATTCCTGCAGGACTTGTTTTGCAAAACAAAATCCATGAAATAACGTTTAGAAAATCTGTTCTTAATTATAAATACAAATTTCGACTTTGTTTTTATTTCCAGTAATTAAATGAGTGCAGTATGGAACTCCAAAATGGTCGATTTTCACAAAAAACATGTTAACAATGGAAACATGAAGTAACCAAAGCAATTAGCCGGCTAGCTGCTGTCGTTAACATTTGCTCTTAACTTTGATGCCATGTCAAACTTTTAGCTAACTAGGTAGCATGTGCAGCCTAGTCGAGCTAAAAGACTATAAACTGAGTTTATTTACAGCATCAGCCGGTTGGTTGTAACATGGCTAAGTAGCTAGTTAGCTGCAGCACTTGGAAACAGCTTATACCTACCCGCTAAATGGCGGGGCCCTTATTCTTCAACACTACTGCTAATAAAACTGACATCAGCTTGTAAATGAAGTTACCATCATTCGTTTGTCGACATTATGTCCCAGGGCTCCCGTCAGTCAAATACATAACATTGTCTCTGGTCTGTCAAGGAGCATTATGTATTTTGTAGTTGTATTTATTCTGTTTATCGTCACAATAATGGTATTTGACTGGAAAAGTTTGAATAATTTATTGAATGTCACTATTTATTTTCTCATTTATTTATTTATTTATTTATATATATATATATACACACACACACACACACACACACACACACAGTATATTTACTTAACTCAATTTTTTCATATCATTTCCTAATGTTTAATTTTGGCCATTTTGGGCTTCCATACTGCAGAACATGAGGGTGCGCATTCTTATCATATTCCAGCTGGACAGATACTGAGCATCGGGCTTCTCCCAGATGACTCCCAGCCTCTGGGATCCTATTACCAGCAGGTGACCGTCACCGTCGACACAGCTGCACCACTAAAGAAGCCCACGACCCCCAAACACATGTACAGTACACCACATGTTAGATGACGGGCTCTGCGCTCCCTTTGGGTCACTACTAATATTCCTTCACCCATTACTGTCACAGAATGAGATGAACGGAGTACCAGTTTATTTATTTTATTACAGTGATCCGTGTATCTTATTATGCTCGCTCTGACACAGAGGTGGAGCACATTGGTGGCATTGCCATGCTGTGTTGCAGTAACATGGCATGCAACCAGCAAGGAGCTTACAGGCTTGCCTTTTGTTAATCATCCTACAAAGGATTATCTGCTCCCGTGTTGGCGTATTGTGGCTCTCAAAGCCCCGCTGGATCCCTCTCCCGGCTTTTAAAAGCCATTTCAAGTCCATGTCCAGTCTAAATCTCGTACCCATTTAATTATCCTCCAGCACAACCTCCGTGCATGAGAATTACAGACGAGCTGGTTGTCATACGGTCTCCTGATCTCATTCTGTGCTGCATGTTTACCACATTGTCATTTCCAAGCAAGACTCGACCCCTCGGCCGGCGATCCTCCCTTCAGGTTAGACGGCAGGGTTGGCATGTCTGACTTTGACGTGATGTGATTTGAATATGAATCGATGTTGCCCCTGTGCTGACGCCAGCTTGTGTGCGCGTGTGCCAGGAACGTGGAACGGCACCACCAAGGTGGCAGTGAAGACTCTGAAGCCGGGCACCATGTCGCCCGAGTCCTTCCTGGAGGAGGCGCAGATCATGAAGAAACTCCGCCACGACAAGCTGGTGCAGCTCTACGCCGTGGTGTCCGAGGAGCCAATTTACATAGTCACAGAGTACATGGGCCAAGGTAGATGAACACGAACATAAGCATGTATACACACACACAACACAAATACAGTTCTTTGTTAGAGCATTCAGTCCCAATAACAGAACCGTGGCAAATCATATTGAACTGTAAAATTAAAATAAGACCCAATTTGTAAGGCCCCACTAGCAGCCCTGTGAGGTTGCACCTAATCTTACAAAAGAGTCTCGAGCTGAGACCTGAACCTGTACCTGCACCTTTAAGACCCCAACTTGATTGGTCCCAACTGGTACAGCTAAATTTGAGACCTGAATCTGACTTGGGACCTGAAGCTATGCTTTTGCTATATGTATATAGCTCTTCAGGATAATGCAACACTGTGGATACAATCTGTCTCTTCCTATATTTGCCTACGGGCGTTATGCATCCACTGACAGTACATGACACACATGGATACAGGCAGAGAGGAAGAGGTAAAAAAGAAAAGGTAAAGCTCATGAAATGTTGAAAATGGAAAGGGTTCATCCTCTTGGGAGCATGAATACGCTTAGTAAATTCAGCAATTACAATCTACACAATAGATGTTAATGTTTGTGTCAGTGGAAATATTTACCTGATGTTGAAACAAGAACAATAGTTGGGGGTCTCCGAAAACATTTGAAATCATCCTCTGAAGACCATGAATGTGCTCATTAATGTGGTGTTTGTAGATGGACTGACCTATCAATGGACAGCACTACTGCTTGTGGAGCATAAAAATGAATAGGATTTGTCTCAACTCCTTGAATTGTTTGACCTGATTTGCTACAAAAGCCAAAATAAATGATACAATCGGCCAGTAAAATGTACAAAATGGTTTAAATATAAAGCACCATTATATATATATATGTACTGGGTTTTGTTCTTGTATGTATTTAAGCATATTGCACTTTCTTTTGTTAAGACCAGAGTGTTTTTGTTTCACTCCAGTCAGAATGATGTGTCTGGTAAACTTTGTTTCAGAGTCTGAAGATGATTAAGGCCTTAGAAACAGTCCTCCAAAATAAAAAAACACTGCAATTTAGAAAGCCCACAAGAAAGAGCTGCGGACGCACATTAAAAACCAGAGAACACAAGAATGGAAACTTTGATGTGCATCGCTGTGTCCGTCGCATGCAGAGGCTCTCACATCTGGGTCAGCCCGCTGAGTTGGAGAAGGGAATGTGTTGTTCAAAAAGCAGACCCAGTGTGAAATTTGATGAATGTCAAAGTATTTGCGGTGATCCCCCAATTCTGTATTTACCCTTGAACTTTAACTTATTGTTGTTGATGGTATGAAGTGGAAGTGAACGGACAAATTACAAGCTTCACGTCTCCAAAACATTTAGAGGGTCGGGGGCACATGGGGCGCCACTGATTGGCTGCTGGATCTAAGACGTACAGTTTGTCTCTTCAGTGTCTGTGTGTGGACTGACATCAGACGTGTGTTTACGTCTGCTGTAGGAAGCCTGCTGGAATTCTTAAAGGACGGAGAAGGACGAGGGTTGAAGCTGCCTAACCTGGTGGACATAGCAGCGCAGGTAAACCTTGATCAAAGAACAACAAAACTGGTTTCAATAACCGGAATAGTAGACTTGTTTCTCATCACTTGTTTACTGAAAACAAGAGAAAATAAAATGTAGAACCTTTGGAAACATGACTCAGGTCAGAAGAGCAGGCCTTTATTTGAAACAGGCTTCTTTTAGAGACCAGCTGTGTATTTTATTACATTCCGTTAGATGCTTCCCTGTTTTATTATTTGGTCCAGTAAACTCAACACTTCCTTGATAAATTAAGACTGAGTAGTGCTGCAACAAACGATTATCTTCATTAGTGACATTCATTTGCCGTTTATTTTCTCTATTGTGTGATTTGTCCGTGATGTTAAAAAAACATTGAAAATGTCCCTTCGAATTTCCTAAAACCCAAGTAGACGTATCTATAATTCTTGTGCAATTCTAACTGTCCAAAGCCAAAATGTTCAAGATATTTCATATAATATATGGCAAGTCAAAATGTCAAATCCTCCCAAAATAACTGCCAATTAATTGTCTGTGAATCAAACTAATTGATTAGTCTGCTATTTGTTTCAGATCTACCCACAGCAAAAAAAACTGAAATTAGAATTTGGTGCATTTTAATCAACTGGTTTGGAGATATTGAACTAAATGTTTGCGACTTCACAAATCATTTGGCAAAAGCGTTTCAATGTCCAATTTAGTGCCTCAACTCTTTTTTTTTTTTTTGACAAAAGGCAAAAACCACCAAATGACTATAAAACGTAATTGCGCAATTTAAGTGTTAATGAAATGTAGCTGTTCTCATGCAGCTTTTTTAACATGCATAAAAATACATGAAAGGAGAACACAGCCTTCCAGCAGCTCAGTGGACGTTATACTGAACTCGTCTGGAAGGCTTTTCATTTTAAACACACAGTTCTACTTAACGTGATATATTCAGGCCATACCAGAGCGTCCTATTTTGACCAACATTTCCGGCAGGTTATAAATCTACTGTAATAGGAATTAAACTTCCTTGAAACCACAGAGAGGGATTTATTAGGCCTGCATGTTGAATGGAAAAGATCTGTATGAGCTACAACTACCATCAACTATTTCTAAAGCCCAAGGGCAGACAGGAGGTTTCTATTCCTCAACCTGTTTTAGCTCAACAATCACTTGCCTACAGATCTTTTTTTGGATCGACATGTTTCCTCTCCCAACCGACATGTATCCATATTTTCTTAATGCACTTAAAAGTCACACAAAGTAGTGCTTTTCTCGCCACGTGAGGCAAAAGCACACTCGCAGCCTTCAGCAAGAAACGGTCCTAGGCTGGCGTCCTCAGCTCTATGTGCTCCATCCAGGTGGCGGCGGGCATGGCCTACATCGAGAGGATGAACTACATCCACAGAGACCTGCGCTCCGCCAACATCCTGGTGGGGGAGAACCAGGTGTGCAAGATCGCCGACTTCGGCCTGGCCAGGCTCATCGAGGACAACGAATACACGGCTCGGCAAGGTGAATGATGATGCATGATGTCCAGTCACTGAGTTCTGTTTCTTGGCTGCATCATTTTAACAATCTAGCGTACTATTGTTTCGTTTCTCCAAAGTTACCGACCCACCTTCAGCGTTAGTCATCACCCAGTACACCGTGAATGCTGGTGAGGTTGAGGTCATAACAGCCGTTCCTGATGATGCAGTTTGTCTGCGCTCATAAAAACGCTGCCGTCATTTTTGAGGATTTTTCTTCTCCCTTCGACATATGAAATCATTTTGCCGCGCAAATGTTTTCTTTGAAAAGTCAAACCTTTTTTATAGCTGGCAGATGCTGAAAGTTGTCATTCAGCCCAACACGACCCAACGTGACAGCAGTGTTCTTAATTAACATCGAGCAGCTTCAAAGTTTAGACGATCGCATGTATATCTGTGACCCAGCAGTGGGTCAGATAGAACTGAAGAGGTAATAATACCCACAATACACCAGAATGTATTGTTAATGCTCACATGTGACAACTGTTTCATGTTTATGTCAACAAGTTCAGATGAAAGGTAAAACCTCAGGAGATTAAGACCAAGTCCAGCTGCTGAAAAAACGACATACGGACATGACCTCGATCATTTTTGCTATCAGAGTGGCTCTCCTCAAATTCGCGGATCATTTGGTTTGTTTATGTTGTGAAACTTTATTGAACTATAAAGGGAGAGTCTCATAAATCACGTGACTTCACTCCCTCTTCACCGATGCTTCTCTCATCTCTGCTCTCCTGCAGGCGCAAAGTTCCCCATCAAGTGGACGGCCCCGGAGGCTGCGCTGTACGGGAAGTTCACCATCAAGTCTGACGTGTGGTCGTTCGGCATCTTGCTGACGGAGCTGGTCACCAAGGGTCGGGTGCCTTACCCAGGTGAGTGGAGGAGTGGTGGGGGGGAGTTAAACAGAGCAGAGGCTCGGTCGTAGCTTTCGCCTTGAGACCACTTGGGACGCGTCGATAAAGCGGCCTGATAAGAACAAACCTCTCCTGCATGTAGCCGGGAGTCGTTACCAAAACAAACACTGCTACCCCCCCCCCCCCATAGCAACAGGCCCCTCATGCTGTTTATCAAAGTAAAAGGTTCTTGTAATGCTTGAGTAACCTTCCTCTCTCTGCCAGAATGTGAGGCAACTCTTAATTACCGCTGCTCGCCTGTGGGACAACTGACTTTCAGACAGAAACGGGGGAGGGGGGGGCGAGTGTACTCGGAGTGCAGCTCTACACAGGGAGGGAAACGCATGTTTGTCCAGATGTGGGCTGGTGGGCCGAGGAAGGTTAGCACGCAATGAGCTGGAGGGAGCAGCAGCATGCTAACAGATGTGTTAGCATGCTGCTGCTCCCTCCCCGGTGCAGACCCCCATCCACTGACCATTGATGAGTACAATCAAACAGCCCCACTTAAAAAAACAACAAACTAACCCTTAAGGAAAATATTAGCGCCAAAGGTCACCGAGGCCCAGACGCAAGCAGCCGGGTTTCCGCGGAGCTCTCGCGTCGATCTGTTTTAAGGGGTCAGCACCTCCATCACCCCGTGCGTGTGTGTGTGTTCACCTCCAGGCATGAACAACCGCGAGGTGCTGGAGCAGGTGGAGCGGGGCTACAGGATGCCGTGCCCCCAGGACTGCCCCATCTCGCTGCACGAGCTGATGCTGCAGTGCTGGAAGAAGGACGCCGAGGAGCGGCCCACCTTCGAGTACCTGCAAGCCTTCCTGGAGGACTACTTCACGGCCACCGAGCCTCAGTACCAGCCCGGGGACAACCTCTAGACCCCCCGCTGGGCTGGGGGCTGGACTGGCCGAATCGGCGCTGTTACAAAACTCTGGAGCCTTCCCAGCCGGGCCTTTTTTTAATTTTAAGGATCTGTACAGCCTCCTCAAGCTCCAAAATCCTTAAAACACCCCCCCCCCTCGGTCTCTGACACGCCCTCCAGTGTCTGAACTCAGCGAATGCCATAAGTGGGGAGGTTGAGGAGGTGGTGTATGACAGACGGAGTCAACCGCGATCGTGATAATGCAATGTATTCAGTGTAAATAAGAACGGCTCGTTTCAGTTTGTTTGCTTTAAGATTTTTATTTTCTCCTGCACAAAAATAATAATGATAAAAATGATGAAGGCAAACAAAGAGAACCATTTCAGAAGCAGACACAGTTAACCTGTACGTGTATTATACCGTAGCTCCTGTATTATTTTCTAGAGATCGGATCGGAAGCCTCATATATATTTTTTTCTAATTTTCCATAATGTGTAAAAAGAAAAGAAAAAAAAAGATCTACCCCAGATTATTGCTTTATTCTTGACTTTTCGGTAAGTAGTATTCTTGCAACTTGAGACGAGCATGACGCTCGACACACCCACACCCCCACACCCACACACACACACACACACACACTCACACACAGAGCTCTCTCTAAGTCGTCAGGCTGCTGCTCTATGGCTCACGGCTCTTTTTACAAATGATATGTGTCACGTGTTTTTGTAAATTACAGCCGAGCGTGTAAGGATTTTGAACATATCCCTCCCTCGCTTATAGTTTTGAGAAAAGGTGTTTTTTGTTGAACTGGAAGAGAGAAAGTTAATTTAAGAAGAGAGTATGTATGTCTTATTTGAGCGGTCAGTCCGTCGCGCGCCAACCTGCAGCCGATCCTGGACCAGCTCACTTCCTTCTTCTTTTTATCTTTTACTGACAAGGTTGTCGTCCATCAGTATTTGAGTCTTTTGTTTTTTACAGAGTATGTTTTTATTTAACCTCTTTAAGTGACCCCTTAAGAAGTCACAACTGTACGTTCAGCGGAAGCTTCGGGGCCAATTCATGTTCTGGGTTAGATGTGGAGGATTATTAAGGGTTGAATTTTGCAAAGAAACCAGCTGAATTTGAAAAACTAGTGGAATGCGGCCCTGATCTGGTCTTAATGCAGACGGTTTCGTGGCCAATGGAAACATGTTTGTAGTCGTACAGCTAATTGTTTTTAAGTGTCGCTAACTTCCCTTCCTTATTGCTTTTCATTTGCATTTTTTAACATAAGTTGTTTCATTAATTCAGTGACTTGGCGTTTGGAATTCAGAAAAGAACAATAAACATTTTACACTCTTTCCAAGACACTTCCTTTTCCGTGTGTGTGTGTGTGTGTGTGCTGTGAAATCTAGCATGCTATCTGAAGCGAGTTAAGACTTTATAAAGGGGAATTCCAGCTCTATTTATTAATGCACTTCCTGTCTCACAATCAAATCACAGGTCTTTACTTTAGTACAAACGATGATTAGTGTATCAAAGTACATTTGTAGTCCATATATTTTGCAACCTAAATATGACATTAATAATGCCGGACTCCCCTTAGTTCATACTGTACGTTAGTGGCGCATATTCCCTGATGAGTTGGCACTTTCAAAAACATACCAAGACTGACTGACATGCAGTGAACCTGGGACTTTTTGGGGCCCTTAGGGGTTCAGGGGCACATCGCCAACACTGTTCTCCATGCAGGACAGTATTGTGCAGCGTCATTGTTTCCCAACAGCCGGAAGATTTGCATTTGTCAATTAAAACACTTTTTTTTATGGACCATTTGCCCCTTTTTGTAACACAAACCTTTCAGCGTTTTTTTATTTGAATTCCTTTTAGAAATCTTTCTTTCATTCATGTAACTTTGAATTTAGTTGCAGCTATCCAGTGGAAAAATACACTCAGACCTGTGTCCTTAGGAGAGGATCGGTTCTCGGATCAATAAGGTGACGGCTTGCTGGCTGGAAGCGCCGTAAGACTGATGAGTTTGACCTGTGCAACACAAATGACTGCTTTAACTTTACAGGAGTATAGAACATCCAGAACAGATCAAACGACGTGTGTTGATTTTGTTTCGTTTTGTGCTATTTCGTAGTTTATTTCGTTTGCATCATTGAGTATCTGAACACCAGCTGTCGGTCAGGCGGTGTGACTCCCTCCTCCTGAAGCTTTATAGCGGCAGCAGCTGGAGCCGTCTCACCCACCCCTCATATCCGTGATGGTCTTGTCCTTGAGGAGACATAACTCAGCTGGTATGATCCTCTGTGGATGAAGTCCCTTCTGTGTGACAACTTCAGAGCAAATATAGAACACAGCACGGAGGATCTACAGACACCAGGTATGTCTCATTTTATACTTCTGACCTATCGGTCCAGATTTCACTTCTTTTTTTTTTTTTTTAGCTTTCCTTCATTTCAGAAAAGGTTATTAATGTTAAGTACGCCTTAATAAAACAAGCATTAGACAGAGAGCTATAGGGATCTGTGTGTGATCAAGGGTGGATTAGTGTCATTTTTCAGGTAGTTAGATTGAAAAAAGAAAAAACACTTTGTACAGAACCCTCCACTGCTTCCTTCTCTCCAGCGAGCCGACTCAAGTTCTTTTTACTAGTTGAACCACAACAAAAAATGAGGTGTGCAAACAAATGAGCTAAAGAGGTGTGTGTATAATGGCATCTGATTTACTACCAAAAGCAAAGCTCAGTAAGCTTGGATCCATATCCAAAGCTGAATTAATACATGTCGTTAATGTGTCTTAGTCGGTTTCTTTTTATCCCCGACTTCACATTGTACATTTGAGTCATTTCTGTGATGATTGCAATCATAAAACTGACATTTAAAATCATTCCACTTTCACCTAAATATGTTGTAAGTAGTTCAAAGTAATAAAAGCTCTAAAACGCTGGTGCTTTAAAGCGTAAATAATCTCTAATCTCAGCAGTGTTTGTCTACCGTGACTCCTCTTCTCCTCCACCTCTCTAATGGCTTTATTGCAGGTATTAGCATGTGTGCTATTGCCTGGCTGTGAATGAACTATGGCGGGAGCCGGCGTCACCTTCTTCGTCACCGTCCAGAAGATCTACTACCCGTTGCTTTGCCTCATGGGTATTCCAGGTTTGTGTCTTCTCCCCCGTCTTGTTTGGTCTTTGCCTGGACAACGCTTGCATCGTTTTAATCAGGACAGTCATAACTTTATAGGTTATTAATGACATTTTTGTTGTTAAATCTATCCTCTTTTGCTCAATTTTTCCTGTGGGCAATAATCGGAAATGCCTCCTTCCCTTACTCACTATGACCCACAAAGCATCCTGGTCAATCACCATTTTTTTATTAAAAATACACTTCCAGAAACCAACACTCTCTTAGTTACACTTAGTATGTTTCATTCTGTTTTAGCATCTTTTAGCTTATTTGTTAGCTATGCGGCTAAGTTACTAACCTAGCAAACAAAACCACTTAGCTAGGTCAAGGACTAAACATTATGGTTAAGGGCTTAAAATAAGAACGTAAAACGTAAACAACTTAAGTACAGAAAACAACGTAACTTCAAAATAGCTCAACTACACTTTGGAACAGGAACACTGGTGTCAACCACCGACCTCCTGGTGTCAGTGTGGGGTTATTTTTGGTATTTATAGTATGTCATCACTCTCCCGGAGTAGTACTTGAGTGTAGTTACTTGAAAGCCCGGTGCATCTCATACAGATGCTAAAGTGTGCCTTGTGCATCGGTATCAGATGCCAAGGGGCATGACAAAGGAACCCTGGGAATGAGGACAGCTTTCAAATTATTTTGCTGCTGCCCCTAAATGGCCACAATCAATGAATGAATTTATAAAGTACCACCAGGCGGGCAAATGTATCCATCTGAGCGTCTGTGTTCCTGTCTTCCAGCCAACCTCTTCACATTCTACATGATCTGCTTCCGTAAATGCGGGATGTCCAAAACAGCCATCATTTACCTGAGCTGTCTGGCCATCATGGACACCTTCTACCTGGTGTGGGTGATCCTCGTTGACCTGACCCTCACCTTCTGGCTACTGCAGCCCTTCTGGCACTCACATCCCTGGTGTGGCATCCTGGGGTTCCTGCAGTATGGCTCGCTCTACAGCTCCTCCTGGATCGTGGTGGTGTTCACCATCGAGCGCTACCTCGTTCTTCGCAGCACGGCGGCCAAGCAGCACTTCTCCCAGGCCCGGGTCACTAAACTGACCTGTGTTGCTATCGTCCTGGTGTCGCATCTCGTCTCTGTGCCGTTGGGCTGGATCAACACCGTCACACCGGTCAACTTCACCGTGCACGGGGAGAATATGACGCAGCCCAGGTGTCACTACCGCGATAAGGTGTACACTACAGTTATTGTGTGGATAACTACCTTCTTCTCGGGGGGAATCCCCATCGTGTTGGTCATCAACTTCAACTACCTCATCGGGCACCATCTGTGCCGCGCCACAAACCTGTTCACCAAGGAAGAGCGTCGCGTCATGCACGGGAGGAACACCAGGGGCATGCTGAGGAGGACCATCCTGGTGCTGGGCACCGTCTCCGTGGCCTTCGTCGTCCTCAGCCTGCCCCGCTTTGTCACGTATTGCATCCTCAGGACCAAGTACAACGACGAGAACTTCGACAGGAACGACTACAGCATCCCCATCAATGTGGCCGGAGACTTGGCCAACATGCTGCAGAACCTCAACTCCACCACCAACTTCCTACTCTACTGCATGGTCAGCCGCCGCTTCCGGCGGGAGCTCGTCCAGGTGGCGACATGCAAGGCGAAGGCCTTCGAGCTGGGCTCAGTACTCACCCACACCACCATGAAAGTCTTCTCAGTGGTAGGTCATAAGGCCTCGCCACCCAGTGACCCTGCGACTGTGGTGCTAACCAATCTCAAACTGACAAAGTAGAAAGGATCTGGAAGAATGGACAAAGATCTGACTTTTACCTTTAAGCATAAATGTTCATCATTGACCATGGAAATTTTAGTTTGACAAACTAATCTTAGAGAATCTTAGATAAGATAAATTCCCCCCAGATAAACACTGTTTATACTCTGTCACCAATGTTTCTGTTGTTTGCACTGTTCGTACTGTTAGCATTGTTAGCTACTAGCCACCGTCACCATGTTGAGGGCAGTGTGGAGGTAATCCCACAATCACAGATATGCTCTGATTTTGGAATTTAGCACCTTTTTATTTTTGTTTTTAGCCAACTAGATAGCCATTGGGATGGCAAGGTAGGTCATTCTTTTAGTCCAGACTGAAATATCTCAAAAGCTTTTCGATGTGTTTCCATGAAATTTTGTCCAGACGTTCATGGACTCCAGAGGATGAATGCTGATCACTCTGGTGGTCCAGCTGATGTCCAGTCACGTGACACGGTGTCCAACACCAACGTTTTCACTTATACAGTGAAATACATGGATTGGCACTCATTTTTGATGCAGGCATTCATGGTTCCCAGATGATATATCTTCATGACTTAATCCCTTTAACTCGTCCTCTAGTGCCAGCATCGGGTGAACATTTGAATGAATCAAGTACTTTGTACGTTGGTTTGTGATGAAATAACCGCTGAACTAATGACAGCCCTCTGCTTTGCTTTGTGTTTAGTGTCGATTAGCATATGTTAGCATGCTAACATTGGGGGAAAATGGTAAACGTTATTTTCTGCTAAACATCTGCATGTTAGCATTTGTCATCGTGAGTGTGTTAGCACTATGACGTTAGCATGTAATGCTAACTACAACCTCCCAGAGCTGCTAGCCTGGCCGTCTTGTCGATCATACTACAGGTGAAATATACGAAATCCAGGTGTAGAAAGCAACTGGACCGTAATGATTTGTTCCAAATGAAATTGTGTATACATATGAGCAGCGCTGCAGTGCAATTCATGTACATGTCAAGTCAATTGTGCACTTTGACAGATTTGTTAATGTGTTGCTTGAACATTTACATGTTCTCTTTTATATGGACTGGATGTAAATCCGATCTGCCACCTCTCACAGTTACAGTTGAGCCTTGTCAGGGTACAGAAAGTCTACCTTGCTGAAGAAACAACCAGGCCAGTTGCAGTCTTTATGCCCGGCATTATTTGCATAAATGGGTCACGAGGTCTCTCTGCTTTGCATAGTGGGAATATTTCCTGTTTCCCTCAGAACAGGTTTGTGCTGTGCCTCAGGGATAAGCAGACCTAAGAGAAGGTAGGTGTGGGACTGTAGTGTTTTGCTTTATTCTCTATTTGTAAATGTCTATGGAAAACTCGCTGAAAACGTTTCAGTTTTTTTGTCAAGGAGACGTGATTAGATCCGTGATTTTGACCTTTGTACTAGTTTGCAGCGATCGTGTTGATGTGTACCTACAGGTACATGTAGTGTGTCACGCCTATTCAGTGGGCAAGAAACAGGATTGTGTAATACTACTTCTGAGAACTGTTTATACTTGATCATGTTCATTGTAACACTTTTCTATCCCATATTTACTCTGTAAGATGTGCATTTTCAATCGTGATCATTGTTTTTACTTCTTGGTAGCGACTTTAAAAGTGGACTTTTAATCTCTCAGTTGAAACTACACTCGTCCTCTAGTTGTGAACGTGTAGGTGACTGTCTCTTTAAGTCATCGTGCTCTGTTGAATTCCTTTACTTTTTTCATTTTCACTTCACCAGAGGCAACAGACACTGTTTCCTCAGTGTCAAAATGGACTCTTTTAAAGGTAAGAAAATACACCATCAGACTCGCTGCGGTCATAAATCTGTCTAACCGATCACAATGTCTTTCCGAGTGAATCAGTTCTTTCTGTTGGCTCTTTTTCTCAGTACCGTGCCCTCATCAGAGGGTTCCTGTTGAGACGGATGAGAGCATGACATCCTCCAGTCTGGACTTGGCCTGGCCTCCCGCTTGCAAACAGTGTAGTGGACCTACAGGGACCAGCCTGCAAGAATCTGGCTTAGGACAAGCAGCACACAACGTCGGCCAGTGGAGACTCCCTGAGGGCCGGCACGTTTCCCCCCAACCTTATATCATCACCCCTAAACGTCCGGGACAGATGAACGGCCTCCAACCTGCAGATGTTTGGCTTTGTGGTCTCAGAGAGCAGGCGCCGCTGTATGAATGGGATCCCATGGGTAACTCCAGTAGAGGCTTTGCTGGCCCTTCAGACTGGCCCCAGGGTCACTCTGTGTCGGAGAGAGAACCCTTGGAGGCCCCTTTCTCTCTCCAGACTGAAGTTAACTACACCCGCTATGGCCCATCACAATACCCAGCAGCACGTATGAATGGTCAGTGTTGTATTATTATTGACACACCTTATTGTCCATGTTTTTTTTAATCCGTAACCCCATAAAGCCTGTTACGCACCTAAACCTTGCGCACTGGGTTTGATGCGTTTTATTATTTGATTTGTTGCGACAATTTGGGATATGAGACAAAACTGAATTAATTACATGGATGCAATAGATGGTGCGAGTCCCAAACTCGACTGATCCATAACTTTTTTTCTACCTCTGAGCTGCAGGAAATCCAGAAAAATGTTGATTTTAATTTGTTCTTTGATTTTTTTTTTTTTTTCTCCACAACCAACTGGCGACCTCAGGAAATTGTCTCGCGACCCACTTGGGGTCCGGAACTGCTGGTTGAGAACCACCGGCCTAGAGCACTGTCTATTCTTATGTACATCCTTTGTTTTGTGACCGTCCCAGATTTCAAACAGTTCTGCAATCACCTGCCACAATCTACATTTAAATTCCCCAGGAAGTGAACCAGCTTATCAGAAGCCATTTCGGATGATGACGTTCTCAATACGAGTGCTCAAACAACTCTGACAATTTGGAAAGAAATGCAGGAAATTGAACCTGTTCTAAAAAGTTTTGGAGTCGGTGTGTTGACATGTTTGACACAACATGGGGTCGTATTTGTTTTTAGACGTGCAAGAATTAAAAAATATTATATTATTTTTTATTTGTCTAGGTTTTTAAATATCTCTCGCTGAGATGTCTGCCTCCATCCCAATTACAATGAAAGTGAATGGAATTTTGCTGGTGGTGTTCACATTGGTAAAAAGTCATCTTTAAGGTCTGTGGATTAGTCACAGTAAATATGATATTGATTTTGGCAAGACACGTTGCTGCTAATTCTTTACATTACATTTTCAATGCTGTAAATGCCACAAATTTAATTTAATTCACCTCCATTGTGTTGCTATGGAGGCAAAAATAAGAGATGGGTAAAACCTGTACAAAGTAAACACAGAATTATCTGCATTTTTCAAGAGGTTATATGTTGTCAGGGACTCATTTTCCCAGGACCCGATCTTTGACTCCATGCTACGTTCCCTTTGACGAGTTCCCACTGTAGTCCATGTCATTTTAAAGACACGTTTAGGATTTGATGTCATCTAGCAGTGTGGCTGCAGATTGCAACTGACTAAATACCCCTCCTATAGATATTGCTCTTTTACTGACTCACTGACTTTCATGCTACGCTAACACTACGTTTTAGCATTTTACCAATAGCTCATATTGCTTCTGTTCAAGTTACATATCGCTTAAACAGAGTAAGTTCAGATATTAGCCATTCATTTCTTTGCAATATTAGAAGACATCTTTTTTTTCTACCTTTTGACTAACCCAACAAAGCCGTAAGACATGGGAGGATATCTGTTTAGCCATGCTAGCTAGCTAGTTTTAGTGATGGCAATGTCTCGATGAAATGTCTGTGGACCACCATTACATTCATGGTCCACACACCATAAACTGTAATCACTACCTACGCTGCTGTACTTTGTGTTCAGTGGTTATTAGTAAAAGCTAATATGCACTCTAAACAAAGACATTACATTGTCATTGCGAGCATGTTAGCATGCTGACATTAGCATTAACAGTAGCTCAAATCCCCTGTGCCTTAATGTAGCCTCGCAGAGCCTCTAGTAAAAGCGAAGCCTTGTATTATTTATCTATCCATAAGTTTTCCTCGCTGAACAATAGGTGGGTCACACTGTCACCATTAGTTTCATATATATGGGTGTCATCATGTTCCCAGCGTCCCATGTTCACCAGCTCAGTATTCACTTCATAGGCTATATCGCATGATGAAAAAGAGCAAAGCTTTTCTCCCCTAGTTCACATGTTCAATGTATGTTCCCTTTCGTCAACATGTAGAAAACACCCCCGTACAGCTTTTTGCCGACTGATTTTGTACTCCCTTAAACTTCCACCCTCAAATGTTTTCATTTTACAGTTTTCTTGTAAAACTGAGATTTGAAACATCTTTATCTTTTAGAACTGCTGTGATAGTCCACACTGATTTCTTACAATGAGGATCCTGGGGACATGAGGATGACCTCTTTATGTAATAACTACTGTCAGTAGTAGGTCATTTGGGGATATTATATTAATTAATTTTACAGATATTGAATATTATTGAATGACAAAAGTAGGACAAATGATACAACCGCATGCCATGCACAGATTCGGTAATCACTACATCTGTGATGGATTTTATTTTAAAAGTGGCCTCCCCAACCCTGTTTCTGTTGAGTCTGCATGACCTCATTACTGCTGAATTGAAAACTTTATTTTTATTTTTTTTAATGTCTGCTTCTCCTCCTCATCTCTCTGCAGGCCCCAATCCAACGCAGGAGAGTCATCTCAGACAGTGCGTGTGCTGCACTCCAGCAAATCCGCCACGTCACAATAATAATAATTATCACTATAAGCGTGACTACCCAGCGGATCCATGCAACAAGCCTCACCGCTACCAACAGTCACAGTAGGAGGACGATTCTTGTCCCGTTTTGTAATTACCATCTGATATTTTCAACGCATTCATTTTTCACAGATGTCATGCATAAATCTCGGCTTGTTTCTGATTATTCCCTCCCACAGGAATCCCCCCTACGATAGGCTGCAACTTAAAGATGGTCCAAATCCCCACTATGGATCTGTACCTAATCAGCGTGTGGGCCCTCCTAGAGAAGTGATGCACGAGGTCGGCGTGTACGGCTCCCTCCAGGCCGGTCCAGGGCCGAACACGAGGGAGATCAGGAAGACCATCAGCCTGTCTGAGGAGTATAGTAAGTCCCATCAGTGTCCCTGCATGCACCTGTGCTCTTCCTCTTAGGAAATGTAGTGACATAGATAAAGATGGTTCACTGACTTTTTTGTCAACAGGGAATGTTTTCATCACATATTCAGTGGACACAGCAGAAGAAATCCTTCCTTTCACCAAATTTCTGACTGATCAGGGGTTCAAACCAGCGGTAAGTCGCGTCATGTCTTCGTCACCTTTGACTCTCCGTGATGTTCCATACAAACACTCACACTAACACGCATGTCTGCTGGCAGATTGATATCTTTGACAACCCGATCCGAAGAATGGGCATCAACAAGTGGATGGACAGCTATTTGAACGACGTAAGTCTTAACCGTCGAGTCCGAATCCGATTTGTAATGTAAGTCTTCTGCAAAGGCCGACGGTGAACTGTCGTTTCACAGAAATCGGTGCTCATCATCGTGGTCATCAGCCCCAAGTACAAGGAGGAAGTGGAGGGAGACGGAGACGACGAGCACGGGCTGCACACCAAGTACATTCACAATCAGGTGAGAGCTCAGCTGCCAGCAACTGAGGACTGCGGGGAAATATCATCCTCTGGTGGCAGGTTTGTGTCATTAAATGCCCTCCTCCCACATGGTAATAGAGACAGGGCATGTGACAGAGCATTTTATTTGCCAGCTCCAATCACTGTCCCCACAATGTTAGTGTGTCACAGGTGCTGAGGCAACCTGGCCCGGCAGCTCAATGATGCTTACTGCAACTCTCTGTAAAGCCTGTTGTGTATTTTTAAAGAATGCATTCAATTTAAGAAAGAAAAAAAGGCTCCGCCAGGAGATTATGTGTTCCGTTGTGCGTCTGTGTGAGTGTGTGTGTGTGTGTGTGTGTGTGTATCTCTGTGTCCGTCTGTCCACAGCTAATGTCACGCACTGCTGGACCGATCGGCCGAGTATGTTTTGTGAGTATTTCTGACTGTGTGCTCAAGGAGCACCCGTGGGTGAAGCGATTCACGCTTAAAAAAAAAAGCTTATTGACTGTTTTATACGGTAATTAACCGCTGACTCCTCGCTGCTAACCCGGCCGCTAAGCTTATGGAGAACTATAAGCACTGATAATCATGTGTTCCTGTCGGTACAGATCCAAAATGAGTACATCCAACAAGGCTGCCTGAACTTCAGACTGGTACCCGTGCTGTTTCCCAACGCATCCAAGGCAAGTAACAAGCAACGAACGGCAAACGCTCTGAAGGGGTCGGCTCGCCCGAGTCACGAAAAAAGAAAACATACAGACCACACGAGATTATGGGCCTTTTTCACAGTTTTGACAAGTCACAGTAGGAAAATGATTCCATTAAAGCCTAGGAATAGCTTACAGAATTACTAGCAGCAGACGGGCCTTTTTAATGTAGGAAAAACACAGGTGTTAATAATAACATTATCAATGGCTCTGTTCTATTCAAGTGTCCCAGTCACGCTGCACACATAGAATTAGGTAGGCGGCAAACCGGATGTCATTTTAGTGGACGAGAGCGGAAGGGTAAAATTAGGTGAGGGAGGCTAAGCATTGTTGTCCAAGTGAAAAACTTTGTGTCGTCCTCTGCGACGAGGAGAAAGTTGTTTAGGTTTGCATTAGAATATCAAGAGAAAGCTGCGTTTTTATATTGCTATATGCATTACTGGAATAATTACATAAAATTGTAGACACAACTTAATGTTTTATTCCATCAGCGTAGCAACATATCATCCTATGTGTCTCGCCTTGCCGTGCTTGTAGCGCTCTACCCACTGACCCCCGGTGCTGTCCGTCTGTGTTTGCAGAGAGATGTCCCCAACTGGCTCCAGAACACCAGGATCTACCACTGGCCCCGGGACACCCAGGACCTGCTGCTGCGCCTGCTCAGGGAGGAGCGCTACATCATCCCACAGCGGGGGGCTGACCTCACCCTCACCGTCCGTCCTCTCTGAGAAACTCTGAAAACAAGACAGAAACATTTTTAAAAGAACATTGTTCATTCTGTCGGAGCCGCTTTGTCTCATATGCCTCGAGGAGGACTGTTTTTACGGCAGCAGTTTGGTTCTGAAGTGTTTTCCTTTTGTCGCTTGTTGCTGTTTCCTTTTGATTCATGATTCATCTGAACAGTGTTTCTAATCCCAGTACATACTCTTAATACCAATCAATCCTCTTCTTTGAGGATAACGTCTGAAATTAGATAGAAAAGTTTGATTTGGGGCAGCAGCACATTTTAACATATCACAATACAAAGTTCCCTATTTATTTCCAGCAAGACACCGCGCCTCTGTGGGTTTGACACTGTGAGCGACCCGCTTTACATTCCACGCAGTCGTTCAGCCCACACTGTTAATATGAAAGTATTAAGTACTTTCAAAAGCTAGCTCACTCTTGCTTGTTTCTAAAGATTACCAACCCTAGCTTTCATTTTGCAATGCCATTTTAAGAAGATAATAAAATCAATAAGTCTGTAATGATGATTTTAAAATTACATTCTAATGTTTTGTGATTTCTGATTCATTTAGAATATAGTATAATATGATAAAACAAACTGCATGATTTATAATAGCTTTTTTTATTGTTGAAAAGATCATAATAAACACTGTAAAAGCCTATAATTATTCCAGTGGCATACTATAGGCTCCACGTTGTCGTTCTTGTCTGACCAGAAGATGGCAGCATGTCCCAAATAATGACTCCAAGCCTCGGTTACTACTTCATGGCAACAGCTCTAACTTCCATTCAATATTAGTTTATGTTATTGACATTCTGTTTTCGTATTACTTTTGAATAAATGCCGTTTGTTTTAACTAACCAGTGAGGAAATCACATGTCAGTGACAATTTCCTTTTTAAGAAAGGAGTTCTTGAGGGTCACGAGAGCAACATTGTGAGAAAGGACCTATTGAGAAAGTGTTCCAACCGACACATGTTGAACACTTACTCCCTACTTATTGTGTCGTAAACCTCCAACTGCCAGTTCTCCCCCTGAGCTCCATCATCAGTGAGCACAGACCACAGCACCATTCTGTCAGCCTGTTTACCGAACCCATTGATGTCCAGGCTCGTATCAGCGCCTGCAGGAGGGTGCTGTCTGTAAACACCGGGGCCGCCAGTACCAATAAATCCACTGCTTGTTATTGTTCCAGGACATGCGCGCCACTTGACTCTGCCTTATCTGTTGAGCCCAAAGCAACCAGGCGCAGATATTTACCCCCCCC